TACTATTTATTTATTTTACCTAAAATACTTTAGCCACCGCTGTTTCATACTTGCGCAGGCACGCTTGGAGCATGTGCGAGTAGTGCGCCTGCACAAGCTTGCATGACCCCATTGACTTCAGTTCATCAAGGGTTTACTCAGTTTTCAACTCCTCCATTCACAGTGGAGCATGCAACATAGAAGCGAGCAATCCTTTAAACAAGCAGATGTCTACACTTAGATTAGACATCTGCAAAAAACAACCCATTCTGCAAAAACAACAACTTTGTGGTATATTTCTGCAACAATAATTGTACAACAGTATCAGTATAAAGCGTCATTCAGATGGCATGTGGCACCTGTGCCGTGGGTCTACTGATGCGGGTGAGTAGACAAGGCAGAGCGTCGAGTCAGTTCAGTCTCACCTCTGCTGTAATTGTCTCAAGAACACATCTGCCTCTAAATCGGGATGCGTTTTACTTCTGAGGTGATAACATAGCGGGGAAGAAAGCAGGCGACAACTTAAACTGCAGCGGAGAGACATTTTCACAGGATGGTGATATGGATTTTTGCTAATGTAACGTAATGTCTCACCAGCAAGATTAAACACTACACTGTTGGCATGCACAGCATAGTCTCTGTCCAATTTTCCTTAACAGCTATGTTAGCTGATTATGATGATCAGTTATCTAAATTGAGGCCTTACGCTTAAGATTTTTTAATTCAAAATGTACAATTTGCAAAAAAACCTGCAGTCACATTTGACAGTGAAAAGAAATGTAAAAACAGAGACATAGCCCGCCTTTAGTCAAAGACTAAAGGCGGGCTATGTCTGATCATGTTGATGTATACTTGTACATCAACATGATATTATTGGCATAACTTTCTAACACACTGGGTACCCCACTGAGTCAAACTATGAAGCTCCACTACGAACGCTGTAAAAAAACATAGTTAACATTGTGAATTAAAAGCAGAACACTTGCTTCAGTTAGGTTAAAGAAAAACACATAGGTTGGGGATTCAATAACTATACGTTAACTAAGTGAGACGTAAACAACATACAAGAAGTAAGGGAGAACACGGGACAAACATCCCAAACATAACTTCTACAACACCTTGGGACATAAACGTGTCACGAACATTCCTACGCCAACAAAGCATGGAGAGGCTTCGGGTAACAACACACACGGAGCAGTTTGTTATTGTAACCTTTTGTTGAAGCTCTTGCATGGGTTAATCTTTCACACTTGTGTATCAAATTTGGGATCCGATACCTAATACTCTCTGTGTTAATGCTGCTGAATTTAGTGCACCACAAATAATCTCTCACAACAACTAAGCATCTTGCCATAGACTTTTGGAGTAAGCTACACGAAGGTGATAGTTTGTTGGGGTACGTTAATGTTGTGCTGGTAACGGATGACCGTGATGTATAAATGCGTGCCCCATTTTACTGATAAAAAGCCACTTGTGCTCTCAGAAGAGCTCTTCGGTATCTGTTTCACTTGCAAGATGGCAGAGGAGGAGTCACACCTGGGACCGCCGCTCCTCAGACATGATTCATCTTTGACATTCTTAAAATTCAAACGGTGCACATCAGAAGAAGTCAAATGATTAGCCAGTCCTTGTTGCATCCACCAGGGCTTTAGTAATGTTTCACCACAACAATGTCTCAAAATGCCATGAATATGACAATTAAGAAGAGTAAATAGATAATCATTTGGCAAATCCAATTAATTAAATATAAAATCCTTACCTGGCAACAAGATAGATGCTTTCTTTCCACAGAGTCCTTACATCTTAAATTAGGAAACATGCAGTGAACAGCTTCTAAAGGCTTTCTATGCAGTAAGAGCCTCGCTGAATCATGTTTGCGAGTATACTTTTCTGATGCCTGAGGTTCACTAACAGTTGAGACTCTGTTCTGTACCGCCTCCTCAGTGAGCCCAGCGAGATTCTTAAACTATAGGGGCCTGAGCAACTATGTTACGGTCAGATCAGTGCCAATGAAAGCGCTTGCTGTGGCTACGAGTGCATCACGTTACCTGTGCAAATCAACTTTGACCTGTATAACACTGCGATGAGCAAATAGTTAGCTCAAGATGCTTATTTTGAGACTTGTTTCTTCTTCTCTGGTTGCTCTGTCCAATTAGAAGAATTAGTAGCTGCAATAAAAGAAAGCTAACACCGTTCCATGTTTCAGTATATTTTACTGCATGATTACTTCTTGGTCACAGAACCAGGTCTACTGAGCCACACCAGATGTCAGCATGAAGCTGGTTTAATTGGGATGCTTTTGACCTGCCTGTCCAGTGGTGCAGGCAATGATGCCTGGAGGGGAACCTGTATACTTCATGCGTTCTGCAGGGAATAGTTTGCTACGTGCTATGTTCACATTCTATTTAAATAGAAAATGAAGCCTCAAACAATTCAGTTTGAAGCCGCCTAACAATATAGTGCAGGTGATACCATGGCTTGGTTAGGAAGCCAAAGTTGGGAAAAGTGTGCACCTTTATTCACGAAATAAAACCACACGTTGGCTCATTGGCTCCAGCTCAAAAGGTGCACACTGAATATTATGTGCTGCACAAAACCGCATATGATGAAATACACCGAATGTAAAGTTACGGCCATGATCCTGCTATTGAGATGCACCCCCCACAATATGGCTTGTCTCTTAAAAATCTTTCTCTGCCTGGTTTATTCCTCTTCATTTCCTGCTTTGAAAGGCAAAATCAATACGGCATGATGTCTTTCACTTCTCTTTCATCTCATCAGGGACAAAGACAAAATCTCCTTATTGTGTATATTCTGTGCAATATATAACAATAACACAAAGCTGGAGCATAACAAGAAAGCAAGTCATAGCAGAAGGATGGAAATTTACACCTCTCGATAGAGAATGTATAGAATTGTTACATCTGTCTATTTCAAACACTTTTCTGCCCTTAAGCAAATTGGGGTTTTTTGGTGGGATTTGATGTGTTTTCCTGCATCATGCCTTTTTATTTTATTTTTATTTTTTTATTAATGTTGCTTCAGAATTTAGCATCTGCGTATGTGTAATGAAAGCAGCATGATAGTGTGCCAACACCAAGGGGAATGTCCACAGGAAAATAAACTCTTCTCACACTATATTTATTTATATATAAATAAAATCAACTCTTCTCGCGTGTTTCTTCAGGTTGAGAGTAATGACGGAGGCTAAGAAACCAAAATGAATAATCTCTCCTCCATTCAGGAGCAAAAAGTTCCCGGTCAATGTATGAGTTCCAGTACATAATACACGTGTGTGGTAAATGCTTAAGGCTAAGCAACGCAGAAGGTCATGGCCCTGCATTCTGAATGTATGAGAATCAGTTCAAAATCTGGTGAAGCTCTCTTTAGTTTCAATGCTCCTCGTTGCAACGATCGCCTTCCGGAGGGCTTGAGATGTCTGTCACCTTTCAATAAGTTTATTTTCTTAGTTTTTTATTGAATAGTATATTCAGTATGTGTATGGTTCACGCTACTTGTTGTATTAAATGCATTTTTTCATCTTTCTTTAAACTTGTGCAGCCGAGGCACACTAAACAATCACTCAGCGTCACATGCCCAATACACAGAGGAAGGGCATGTGCTACTATTTAGGTACAGAAGGCTGACGGTTTAAAAGAGGTGTGAAGGAATCCATTACTGTCAGACTGCGACAACCATCCCTCAGAATGCGGTGAGGGCTGTGACCCTTTTTTCCCCGTTTTTTTAAAGCGGTGTAATAATATCTCTGCCCTAGAATTTCACAGCAATTCATACGCTTACATAACTCAAGCAACACTTACGCAAGGGTGTGACCACAGAGGTTTAAATGCTGAATACTTCCTCTTTTCAGTGGAACTGATGAAGCCTGTCAGATGGACTCGAAAATATTGGTCTTTGGCCAAGAGAGACATTACTGGCCCTCTGGTGATGTTTTGGACAGAGATCGGGCCCATAGGAGCGATTTAGATGATCACCTTGGAATGACGGCCATGTTCAAAGAAGAACTCACATTAACTTTGACATGGTGCCATTTATAGATATCCCCTTGAAAAGGTGGAACCATCTCTGTCAAACTACAGCAACTATGGATACACTCTTAAAAAACTATTCAATTAAATTAATAATTTCTTTTTTTGGGGGGGGTATTGACAATAGTAACTAGCGTCCACTGGGGCGGATCATAATAATGTACACTGGGGCCCGTCGTCTACCTTACACTTCCTCTATGTGGTTACCTAATAAGCTTAAATAACTAGTCTTACATATTTGGTCTAAACTGAGTTAAGGCCAAGATTTTTCACATCATTTTCTGTGAAAAAAAAAAAAAAAAAAAAGATTAATTTCCTGTAACTAAAAAATGACTCAAAAACAAAAACAACTTAACATTGGAACATCTGTTCCCTTCCCATGTCATTACTCTGCTTGATGATGTGGCTGAAATGTCCATATTGACCTAATGAATGATCTTGTGCGTGTCCACGCTCATTAAGATCAAGCCATGTTCCAAATTTTTAATTGTCATTTTAATGGTTCCTCCACGTAGAAATCATATCAAGGCCTGTGCTGTTCTCTCGACATAATCCATGTTAAAAACGCAAAGACGACAGAAGGAACGTGGATCAAACTAAAGCTTTAGTCGTTTATCCCCACACTATATATTCACATCTACCTCATTTCGTTGCACTATCATTGATTCTTCCCTGCCCTGTTAGGTGATAATGAAGAAATAAGTCCTTTAAACATTGGAAAATAGAAGTCTTTAAAAAGAGCAATTACCTTGATATGAGATTTAATGTCATTGCTTCAGTGTGAGATATTCTCCTTCACAGGGAGCATTATGCTCATCGATCTTCTATTTAGAGAAAGAAAATGTATAGCAAAAAAAAAAAAAAAAAAAGTAGGATTTTACATACAGTATATGCAAGTGCATACGAGAAAGTAAGTAAAAGCTTTTCCTGATGCTTACCTAATCTGTCTTTGGGGAGATTTTGCTAAATGTATTTTTAAGAATGTCAATTGTTTTCATGTTCGGGTGGGTTTTATTGAATATCTGCAATATTTCTTCTCTTTTTTTTTTTTTTTTTGTAAAGTAGTCATTTAATATTAAGTGCATTCCTCCTCCCTACTCTGCCATTCCTTACAAAAACAAACAGTTTTGTAGAGGCTTTTTCATGTCTTTCCAGAGCCTGTCTGAGTCCCTAGAGCCGCTGGTGCATAAACGGGCAAAAGAAAGCCGAGCGCTGCATGCAGACCGAACACTCGCAGTCTCTCTCTCTGAGTTCCACAGTCATTATGCCACACTCCAGGGAGACTCGTTAAAAACATTCTAGAGATGCAAACTTTCATTCCATTTGCAAGTTATCAGAGCAGTTTGTCACAGCCAAAGTGTTGTGATGTAGCCTTGGTGTTCCCATGAGGGCTGTCAAAGTGCCCACCCCTTCCCTTTCACTTCTTGCACAGCTCCAACTGAATGCACTTACTCTACCTCCAGCAGAGGCCCTGTTAAGCCCTGATGACAATGATTAGAAGGATCAGTGGAAGCTCTTTAACAAGCAACATGAGCTAGAGCAGGTTAGATGGAATAATATATGCTCTTCAAGACTAGTTTAGAGGTTTTTTGTTGTTGTTGCTGTGGATATGGGGCACAAGTACCCAGTCAATAGCAGCCCTTGAGTCACTCTATCAATATAGGCCATCCATCTCTTTGCTCCCAGTCGTTTTTACACAGCTATCACGCCACTGAAGAGGGAGAAGGACAAGCCAAGAAAGTAATGATGTTTGTGATGAGCCTCAGTGTTGACTGGAGTCGAGCTGCTAAATCCCCGGACTCTCACCGCCAGGCCATTACACACCCTCAGTGTGATCCCCATAAGCTGGCAGGGGGGGGGGGGGCTTTCAGGGGGCAAAGATGCCCTTATTTGAGGTTCTGGTGACCACCAGATCAATGAACCCTGTCAGCACAACCTGTGCGTTTCATCTTTTCAATTATATTTGTAGTGCTCACTTTTATGATTCAGCTGTTGGCCGTCTTGTTTTTCTTGCTGCATCTCTTCCTTCAACCCCCCCCCCCCCCCCCCAGTTTCAAATACCATGCTGGTGACCTTTTGAAGGAGCAATAGCCACACTTGGGTCATTTGAGATGATCCCTCACTCACTGTTCATTTCCTAATAAAGAGACATGCATCACTAGGACCAGCAGACAGGTTGTTGAAATGTAAAAGTGAACTACAAATTGGACAGCAGTGATAAAGGTATACAGAGACTGTACAGTACGTTCAGTCAGGCAGTGGTCACGGTATAAAAATGTTCAAACCTGTAGTTGTCATCTTTAATTAAACTGCCTCTGGAACCGGAGTATAATACGTGATGAATAACCTTGAGAAGAATGGTTCCAGGCTACAACATTAAAAAGGCAGTTGCATGATATAGCTTAAGGAGAGGGTGGCCGTGTTGCCTTCAGGGACAGAGCCTTCAACACAGGCCGAGCGGGGACAGCTGACAGACAACAGTGGCTGTCAGCCTATAACCCAAAAAAATAAATCTCCTCAGCCCTCTTGGTTTTAATTAAGAGCTTAGCAGCGATTTCCTGTCACAGAGGCGCTCAGTTGTCCATGATATGACTACATTGAGGCTGCACTGCTTTAAGATGTTTGGCAGAAGTTGATCCGAGGACAAATTGGCAGCGTTTGGTGAGCCAACATGTTGATCCTCATTTCCATATTTCACCTGGGTGCTAAGCCCAGCATTAGAGCGGTCTTCCATAAATACAACGGCAGCAGAGCAGAAAAAAACAAAACAAAAAACTGGCCTGTGACAAAATGCTGCTTGAAATGCAAAGCAAACATATCACTTACAATTTGCCCAAAACAAAAACAGCGCATCTATTGTGCTCAGCACAGCGCGCCCTGGTTGGAGGCGGGTTTTCTTCTTTTTTTTTTTGCTTGAAAAAAACCTGAGTAATTATCTCAAGTCTCTTCTCATTGAAACGAACCATTGCCCGGTCTCCCTCTGTTTTCTGACAGCATTATTCAGATGAGTTGTGCATTGCAGTCTGAGTTGTGTTTACTGACCAAAGCCGCAGTGTGAAATCCAGAATAATTGCTCTACACAACTCCCCTGGCATTCCCTGGCACATTGTGCTGGGCTATTCAGTTCAAGAGGGAAGTCCAACTGAGAGAGAATTTTCCAAAAATAAAACAAGTTCGTTTTTTTTTTTCTTCTGTTTTTCTCTGACACATTAGGGCATTGAAAAAAGTAAAATTACAAAAAATTATTTTGTTATGAATGCTACAGGATAATGAGATGAAATCATGGTTAGTCACTGAGGGAATGACACATCTGGCCTCCTGGTCACTAAAGAGACAAGTCTGTCTTGCTCAGTGCGTTTCCACACATTGAGATACAACTGGGAGAAAGGTAAGCTTTGGGATACCTACTGTATATCCAGCAGCATATGTCGTTTTAAAAACGGGAGCAAAACAAACAGATGTGTCAGAGGCACAGTGTGTACAGCTCATTATACCAGAGCCTCCCTCGATACGCAGCCGTGCTCGGTGCCTGCACAAAATGACATGCAGGGAGGAGCGCTGTGTGGTGTGAAGTGAGGCAGCGTTGGTAACAAGCAGATAATGGTCTCACCAAAATGGCATCGCCGGTGCTTTGCACAGGGAAGGACTGGGGAGCGTCGCTGCCATTCAGCACTGCACGCGCTCACAATCAAAATCTCAAAAGCAGCCGTGTTTCTCTCCTCCTTCCCGCATGTCACTCTCCATAATTGTTTCATGTTCTTTAGAGGGACTAAATGAAACCAAAAAGCAAACAAATCCTCCGGGGACAGAGAGAACACTGGTGTCGAATGCTTTGTAGTTGTGCCTGTGTCTAATACTTTCCAGTCTGGTTTCTTCAAAATGGCTTTTTTCCTATTTGAGCTCTACTCTTAAACTGTGGAAGGCTTTAATGGAAGGAAAGAGCATATTTTAAGGGCTTACTGCCATCTGTTGGTACCGAGTGAAATTGATAATCAGTCAATACTGTTAGAGGTACTCTGTCGTGTACAGTATATTCCTTTGGATTAGAATATATTACCCATCCGATGTAGCAAGGCCATTGTAAAGACACTGAGTAAATGTTACCGAGATCTAGACAATTCTTAATCAGTTTCACCTTTACTTACAATACCTCCTACCATAACCACTCCAGTGCATTCAAGGCCTGGGTAACTGTCTGTGTGATGGTTGGTGCTGAAGAGAATCATTTTCCTCTGAAAGATGCACAAACATGTTCAAGCATGTATGAATAGATCCTTTCCAGAGGAAGAGATAATGGTCTTGATTCAACACCACCTAAGTAAAAAGTATAAAATATAGAATATTTGGTTGGGGGAAAATCAATAAAATGTTTCCTGACACTTTAATATCACCTGCAATGCATGTGGTTAAATATACACTCAAAATTTGTTTTGCAGTATGGCAGTAAACCGAGCGGCTCGTTTCTCAGCCTTTGTAAGATGACTTGTCGTAATGAATGCGCATGGACCTCCGCTTTTATAACATCTTGAATCACAATCTCGCTCCTGCATGCTTGGCTGAGCCATAATTACCATTTAAAAGTGGGATAGCAGAGAGGTGAGCAAGCTGCTTGTTTGCTCCTCAGGTCACGCATGCTAGGCTAACTTTCTTGATTACGCGAGGCTGCAGCAGATCAAACAATCAAGCATTGAGGGAACACAAGTTGATCTGTGACACAACAGGGATTTCTACAAGAACCTTTCAGTACCACTGGCTGCGTATTTAGGACTAAAATAGTCTTCTAATTGCTCATAATATCCCCATTATGCAACTTCACACTACAACGGTGATCTGACATGACTGTAACAGTAAATCCAGCAGTAATGAAAACCATTAATTTCCCCTTTATTTTAAAAAGTCAAACTGTATGGTAAAGGAAAAAACAATACACTTGCATGGTTCTGTTTCGTAAGATGTAGAAAACATTTAAAGTTCATTTTGTGGGGCATTGCCACCATGACTGCTGCTTGAAATGGCATTTTTTCATCACCAATAATCTAACAAATTGGCAAAAAATTCAAAGTGGTCACATAATTGGCAGAAATGTAAAATGAGGTGGAGAAAGCCGTTTGCCTTTCAGAGGACCAAGATATCATGGCGACACAGACAGACCTCTGGCAAACAAGAGTTCCATGACTAAATAGAACAGCTGTGATGCCTCCAAACGGGCCGATTTCAAAGGGAAACATCCGTCCAAAAAAAAAAGTCCCTCTTTGTTAAATAAAAGGGGCTTCGATCTATTCAGCTAAACGTGGTTCTGTGACCGGCTCTTGTAGGAGTATAAAGAAGAGTACAAGTATTGATTCAGAAAGTAAAGATGTTGGAAATGAAAATATTAAAGCCCTTACATTACAGTTGAACTAGTTATTAGGAGGTAGGGAATAGAGAAAGAAAAAACTAAATACAGACAGACTCCTGCAACGAGTCCTTCTCCTGCATCTGGTGCTATGTTAATGTAAAAGTAGAAATCAAGATGGTAGTCATAGGTAGAGGTCCTCAGTCTGCCTCCTCTTCCTCAGACTCAGACTCTGGAAAAGTAAAAACAGAAAGCAGTCAGCACTATGACCAGAAATGCACAATAAGCATTACCACCAATGTCATATAAACTGAGAAAATAAAGAATACATGGGATAAATCGATACGTCCGTTTGTTCATCAGAAAAAAATGAGACGCAGCACAAACCCACGGCATGTTATGGTGTACTAGGGCTGTGAGAGGTAGAACCAAATACACCATGCGATCAGGGCAGATAAAGGAGACGCTTACCTTCCTCTGCGTTCTTCAGCCATTCAACAAACTTTTTCATCTGTTCAAGGAAAACGCTCTTGCCTTTGGCAACGTGGGCTTCATTGTACCACTTCAGAATTGCTTCCTCGCCCAAAACATCCGCTTTGAGAAGAAACAAAAAAAAAACATTAAAAAAAACCTGAATCTATCCAACATGATGCCAGCAGCACAAATATTTCCACAGGTGCTAGAAAAACAAATGTCACCCGGCAGGTTGAAGACATCAATCAAGACAAACTTTTGGCTATAATCTCTGGCCATCTGGCATCGTTCACGCGTGGCTTCAGAGCTTTTCCACTACAAAACTTTTTCCCCCGCAAACTCGAGGATGCAAAAAAAAAAGAAAAAAAAAGAAAAAAAAAAAAAAAAAAAAGGGAGCTTTATAGAACCACATAACTTACCTTTGTAGAGCAGCACCACAATCTTCTGGAATGCCTTCATGAAGTGGATGTTGTCGTAACAGTACTCCTGGATCTTCAGCAGGAGAGTTAGTTCAGAGAGGCCCTGGGAGGTGAACGCCTTCAGCAGTGGGCTGTATTGCTGAGAATGTAGAAACGGAGAAATCAGTTATATTATTCTGAATTCTTAAATCACTTTGCCGGAGAAATGGCTTTGGGTTAGTAAATCAATTATCTTCTCTGCTAAGTCACCTTTAAAAGTTTGATGGCTTGTTCTGTGACCAGCTCCTCCTTCTTGTTCCACTCCACCGAGCTCATCACGCTGGACCAAATGAGTTCAATCATCTTCTGCTCAGAGATGTTGTTCTTCTTGATTTCATCTCGGACGTAGAGGATGATCTGCAAGACCCGGGTCCAGGGATGGAACACAGCATTATTGGAAAAGCGGGCTAACAATGGCCAGCTATGCGGAGGCTTATTGCTTTAGAAAGCCTGCAGAAGTCTGAGGTACGAGAACCCTGGCAGGATACAGAGGCTCGCAGGAGCAGAAACTTGTCATTGATTCACTGCTTCCTTTTCTCTGGCACTCCTCAAGACAAACGGGTGAAGAGGTTAAGAAGAAAGTAATCTTAAGCTTTGTTTATACTCTCGCTCTGAGCATGCACGGAGGCGTATGTACTCGATATGCTGTTCGTTGCATTATTTTCCGAAACGCCAGGGCGTACAAACAAAATGAACTGAGGAGATTCAAAAAGACAACGAGTGTAACCAGCAAAAAGCCATAACCCGACCTCCACAATGCCGAGGAGGGACTGTAATTATCTGTAAACTCATTTTATATTCATGTATTACTTTACTGCCTTTATACAAGCCCTGTAAGGAAACAAGTCAAGTACTACATGCATTATAAGTGAACAAAGGTTAAATAGCCTGTAAACAATTTGATTTGGCTGCAAAATATACACTCAAAGACTTAAGACCTCCTGTTTCTAAAGCACCTCAAAACCAACTGGCCTCCTTTGTATAATCTCCAGACATGTAAATGGTGATTTTATCAGTGAACCATCAGTGACGGTCACGTGATCGCACGCGCCAAGTTACAAAAATTCAGAGGTCAACGACCATGCGCTGCGACCACTAGAGGAGCCTACGAGCACCTTGGGCGGGCCGAGATAGAGTCGTTTTCTGGCGCACCGGCTTCACTACGGCGAGTACAAACTAAGTGCCAACCCTCAGTGGTGTCGATACGCAAAATGGGAAAAACTAATAGGGCTTACATCTTTGAGGGGGTCCCCACGTGACATCTGCTCCTCAAGCTCCTTCTGCAGCTCCTTGCGAGCCCCTATGGACTGCTGGTTTTTGGCAAAGTCCGAAAGCTCCTCCAGTCCGGCGTCTGAGAAGTACTTTGAGAAGTGCTCACAACTGCGCTTGTTGGCAGGGAACAGCTCCTGAAAAAGCACACAGTCAGATATTGAGGCAGACCCGGTTCAGTCAGACGAGGTTTCTTCGGCAATTAGGAGGCCATTGTTCATTAATTGCCTGAGTACTACATGGCACAATCACAGCAGATTGTTAATCATATTTTCATCAAACAATCATATTTAGAGTGCACAGGCAGTCTGACCCGTACTGCAGCGGGAAACAATACTTCATCTGAGCCTCGTCATTCTCACCATGAGCCTGCTGTCCATGCCAACCTTTCGGAGACTGGAAGAGACGGAGCTGATGTCCTTTTCAGAAAGCCAGGATTTGAAGAGTTTTACAGCGAAGCACGCTGAAACACCTGAACAAATGCAGAAAAACGGGAGTCAGCTGTTGTGAACAGACCTGCCAGGATAAAGTTAGGCCTGAGTATTACATTGGCAAACAACCTCCCAGGATGCGATTAGTCAGGTTTTACCTGGAACAATGCCTAAAACAAGAATGCACCCAACTAAATTGGTTTATACCACAGGTGTATTCAATAAGTTGTCATTTTTTATATATAATTTCAGTGAACATAATTTCAGCAACATCGCAAAAAGGAAATGCTTAACAGCTTTCTTCTTCCAGTTATCTTGTGAGGTCCCGATACATTAAGCCACATGGCAATCATTGTGTGCCAGTGGGACCAACTAAAGCCACCCATCACAGTTTTTTTTCTTCTGCAAAAACTCAAACTGTCATCTGCATCCTTTTGTCAGACAATATCAATTCATACTCAAAGCTTTAAACAAGACGAATTCAAACATTTTCACATAAATGATGGGCCATTTTGTCTTTCCATAACGCCGGGTTCTCTCTTTTGATTAGGAATGAGGACTATTAACTTCTTATGTGGGTGTAGATGTACATGTATATGGGTCAAATAGCAATATTGGCCTATAAAATGCAGTATTGGTTGGACTGTAGTTTGATCAGCTGCTCTTTGTTGGCACTAGTTCTTTGAGGGTAGCTTGGCATGTCGGTTTGTAAGCCTGTTTGCTTATCTATGGATGGATGAAAGTTTTGAGCATTTGTGACTGCCAACTGATTAATTTCCCCAAATGTTTAATTAGTGTAGTAATGGTCTCGTCATTGTAATTGCAAAGGATAATGCTTACTATACGTGTCTTTCAGGAAAATACAGTAAACTTGTGTTGATTTCCAGGAAAGTAACTAACGAGAGCAAAACAAAGATCTTACTCAACATCTGATTATTTAATCTCAGTCCAACTATTTCTACCTGCGGTTCTTTTCTGCAAAACAAGGAACGACACGACTAGGCACGCCTACGAGGCAGAGAAGTCGGTACCTTCTTTGACAAGGTTCTCATTGAAGAGGCTGCTGAGAATGGCTGCAGAGAGGTTGCCGTTGGCCAGCAGAATTCCTGCCAGCATGGCTAGCTTGTTGCGCTCAGATTCAGTGAAGCCCTTGAGGAACAGCAGCAGCTGCCAAAAAGCAAATTAGCACATTTAAGTTGGAATAACATGGTCATGAATTCAGAAACTTGACCTGGAAAAGTACTAAGTGTTCCTGTAAAGGTGCCTTTAGCGAATGGCAAACCTTTTTAATCTCCTCCTGAAATCCTTTCTCCAAGTATTTGTAACGCCGGATGAGCTTGTTAAAAACCTAGAAAGAAACAAACAATTCTTTATTTGTACCAACTGGAAAAAAAAGTTGATTCTTAACTTTCCTGTGATAACAGTGAAAATTGAGCAGGAATGTAATGGTATCCACCTGGGCATATGCCTGCATGGTCTCCATGTCCTCTTGTGCTTTGAAGAGACAGAACTCTGTGCGGGTCATGTCATCAGACAATGTACCCCCTGGGGCTGAAAAGAAACAACACAGTTTCAGAACTTTGTGATTGTTATGCCGTGTTCACACCAAACGCAAATTCATCGCGCCGCTGGTCTCGCCGGGGACCATTTGTGTACATTCGCGCGAATCGCGCTGGACACACCGGAGAGGGGGCGTGGCTTATCACCCTGAAAGCCGTTCAACTGTCCGCCATTAACCATGGAAAAAATAACCTCCATTTCTGCTTAGTACGTGTTGTGGAAGTCAGATATCCGGGGAAGCTAAACGCCGTCATGTCTGGGTTCATAATATTGTTCAGAGGAGCTCCGTGGATTTTATCGAGCTGTATTCACTGTGTCTAGCAAGCCACAGGTCACTGTTTACTACAGCTGTATGTACACAAAATAAACCGATTTGGCTGCGATTTAACGGCAATAAACCGATAAAAAGGGACTCCGAAATAACTACTTAATGATGCCGTTTTGTACTCGTCTTCTCCAAAAAAACGGGACTCCTGAAACAACTACGTAATGATGCCGATTCGTAGGCTACTTGTCTTCTCAATGGAGTGGATGGATCGGTGCTAGGCTAACATTGTAGCAGCTCCACCAACACTCAGACTAACGTAATCTAGACGTAAATACGGCAGCGTCTATTCATTGTTTGTACCATATGGTTCTCTCACTCACACTCACACACACACACACACACACACACAGGTCCGGTCTCTATTGATATGAGGTATCGTAGAGCTCTGGGTGAACACAGACGGCTACAGTATTTATTTCCTGATTCAACGGCAGGAAGTCAGTGATGACGGGGGGGAGCAACGTAACACTGATAGGCTATCGCGCCAGGGCGTAACGTGAATATTTTGGCGAAGTTGAAAAATTTCAACTGACGCGTTTGGGGCGATTTGCCGCAAATTCGCATCCATCGCAAATTCGCGCCACGCCAGTCTCATCGCATCTGTGCATAGACTTTGTATGTAATCTACTTGCGCGAATAACTCGCACCGCGTTTGGTGTGAACGCAGCATTATGCTCCACAACTCCACTCGGTTGCTTTACATTATTGTGTGTTTACAAATGCAACAAAAACAAAACTGAAAGAATATAAAAGCTTTCCTGGGAACTATTGTTTCATGACAGTCTTCAGCTCAACAATGTATGAAACAAATATGACAAAGAGTCCTGCCTCTTACCCAGCATTCCACCAGCCACCAGGATGTCGAAGAGAGTCTCTACATAGCGTCGGTAGTCAAGCTTGGCACCAGAGGAATCAAGGAACTTTGCGACCGCTTCCAAATCAGTGCCAGATTGGTTCAGACCTTGTACGATGCTTTCCTGAAACTGGGTGGGGTCAAACCTTTCCTTTTCATCTGTTAAAAAGACACATTTATACATGAGTTTATCCTGCCACTTACGACATTCTAAAAGTCATGTTCGGGGACGCGTATATACATACACACACACACACACACACACACACACACACACACACACACACACACACACACACACACATTATCTTCCTTGCATAAGGCATTAAAGTAAAATCCTAGAGTATTCATATTTATGTATGCGTGTGCGTGCCTACTCTTGCAGTGAAAAACATCATCATTTAAACTAAATGTATTTGCCACACAACAGTGTTTGGCCAGATAGCATTCTTTAATATGCAAAGTGGCAAATTAAATGTGTTAAATATCTAGTTGGTGAACAAATGGGTGTGCTCTTCAGTTATAAAACCATACAATCACATTCCTGTGTCTGATCGTAGACAGGTATGGCGCTGGATGGAAAAGTCAGTACTATGAAAAGCTGGAAGACAATCAAGCACGTGCTCTTTGTGAAATCTGACGGAGGCCTACTTGTTCATTAAAACTAGAACCTCCAAAAAATATCTGTGTGCGGAACTGTGCGATTCACTAAAGTGGGTCACCTCTTTTCCGGGTTTTGAAACGCTGGCCTGTTAGCGTAGGCTTCTGCTGCCGTTGATTACTCATAAAAGACACTCTGAAAGACAAGAGTAACGGAATTAAGATCGGGACACAAAAATACTTTGTAATTCCATAATATGCATTGAAAAAAACACTTTAAATAAATGATAACAATTCTAGCCATCACCTAGCTTAAGTTTATTTAAAAACTGAAGACATCGTGCGACACAACATTCAAAGGTGAAGGCCGTTTTTGAATTAGCATTCATCAAAATATAACGTTAAATGTAATGGAAACAGACGAGGGAACAACACTGGAGTTAGCACATTGTGCATGGTAAAACAAGCTAGCCATCCGACATATTTTAGAGCGCAATGTAATAATCATTGGGTGCCAATTTATGCATAATTTAGTTTTACCAGCATAATGGCAACTGTGTAAAAGCAACAGTCTTGGGCGTTCGTCTAACCATGTTCACCGTTATGGTGCTAATATATCAAACGACGTGTAGTTAACGCAACTATCTTTCAAAATGTTGGTTGATCAAGATCTGGAAAAATGGCATACACTTTCACACCAACGAATTGACGTTAGCTCGCCATGTTAAAGCCGTGGATGTCTAACTTCAAACACGGGGTAACGTCGATGCTAACCTTAGCTTAGCTTAACTAGCTAGCTACAGTCAGCCTGACGCAGTGCCGAAATAAGCTTAAATATAAACCGTCGCTCAATTACATCGAACAAAGACAAACTCACCGAAATCCTCTTTATGAGCAAAAACAGTCCGTAAAATAAAAACTAATACCACTGGTGAACCGTTACAGTCAGGTAACGTTAGCAGTCAATCCCAGAGAAGAGGAAAGTGTGGACGTCACAACGCATGCGCATTAACACTGATTCTATGTGGGTCATTACACTTGTGTGGGGTGAACACGATTCACAAACTGTTAAAAACTGAGAAAATATTGTCGGAATGAAAATAACCATGGTGAACTTAATACCGAATTTTTGTATTCAACACAATATGGTTTAACTTACCCTCTACATACTTTGCAAAATCGATTACTAACGTCAACCCTTGCAATTAACCCCCCTGTACAGTTCGTAGTCATTGTGTTTAGTTAACGCTGGAATGAATAGGCTACGCGTAGCCACCTATCTCCACAGCGCTGTGTCAGCGCTAAAGGAATGAATAGATGAAAAAAAATCTGAACAGGGTCAGTTTTCTGCTCATCAGGATTTTTAACCCATAGACTGTGTGTAAAGTGTATATTTATATATAAAGTACATATGTATTAAGTCATACAGTATAGGGTTTAACCATATCTAGTGACACACCAAACTGACCCAGAGTTAGTAGGCGAGCATTAAATAATGGGTCAACAAGTCGTTGCTATCTATCATTAAGACACAGGAGGGGGATGTTGTGCTGTCGGGTGGTTGGGCTACCAGTCTATGGGATGAAGGGAAAACTTTAATGTTGCGTTACCATTCACCTCGTAAAGCTTGGTTCTGAAGGTTTGGCAACTATTGTTTCGCCTTGTTCTGGCCAAGATTGACCTTTTAGCCCAACGACTGCCTTTGTTTACACATGCAAAAAAACATGTTATCAGTCCATTCATCAAGTTTTCGTTAATATTCCAGAAAGACTATTCTCGTTTACGACAAGCACACCCTCTGGCCCAAGGTTGGGTTATCGGTATGGCACCACATTTAAGATTGTGGTGTTTGGATGTGAGGTGTAGCCAATTATTAGAAATGACTGGCGATGGAATAGGGCTGTAGAAAGCTTTGTTTTTTGCCCATAATCACGGCTGGAGTCACGAAGAGTGATTACCACCAAAAATCCCGACGACATTTGAAGGCATCACAGCCCCACCTCCCCCTACGCTGGAGGTGATTAAGGGACGCTGGACTAGCCCAGAGACGCCGCTCCAGCCACTCCCTACGCCCGGCGGACCACGCACTCTCAAGTCCATCCAGAGCTCCATTCAAAGTGCTGAGGTCCAGATGAGAGCCACGTTCAGCCTCATCCAGCACAGCAGACACGCGTTAGACTAAAGGCAGCGGGGAAGGGCTTCAGGAGCCACTCCAGAACTTGGAGAATCACCTCTGGGATCCTACTTTTTTGTTCGCAGAAGTGGATTTAGGACGAGAGGGAGCAACTCTTGCAGAGATAAAGAGGCAAGTTTGATGTGTTCTGTTACATGTGCTGAACATTGTAACTACTGCGACCGTTTGAGTCGTATTTGTTACACTGTTGCAACTTTTCTTTTTCCAAAGTAAACTTTGTATTGTCTTTGGACCATCTGCTTCCCAACTCATTCATACCTCCTCACTTCGTGCAGGAGGGGGTTGGGATTTTGTTTATCTTTCTTTTTCTTTGTGTAGGCTACGGGTTGTTGGAGGATAAAACCCGATAGGACTCAGTGTGTCCGAGTTAGTTTCGCCGTTTGTCTCTTTCGTAACCTAAACTAAGGCAGATTTTGGCAACGCAAATGGAAAGTGCGCTGGCTAATTGCATACATCTGCGGGTTTAAGTGCCATCTTTGTAGCTGACGAGAGTCTAACTCCTGCAGAGCCCGACGCGGAGGACAGCAGCAGATGTGTCAACAATCAAAACTCATCCAGAGTTCAGTCCGTTTTTCACACAACCCGAACAATGTGTGAATGGAAAGCCGTCTGTAGAATGGGCGTTTCGTCTGTTGTGCATGAGATGGGGGTAAATGAAAACGGTTAACTCTGACCTCCATGGTGGGATCATTCAAAGTAAAGTCTTCCTATTTCATTCAAATTACATCCTAACACCATGTACCCTATGATCTGTGGATACACTTGGATCCATACCGAAAAATATCAATGTCGGCTTTAAACTGACTGAAGTTAGATTTACTCTCCAGTCGCCCTCGGTTTTAAGAGATCCTAATGCTGCTGCTGCCTGGAATAAATTACTGCTGAGCACGGACCGCATGAATGAAACTATTCACCTCTCTGAGAAACATCCCAAAGTTCCTTCTTGTCAGAGTTGACCTGCTTTCTTTCCACCGGGATCCCCTGTGGGATCCCCTGTGGGATCCAGCCTGGGGACTTCTAAATCAGAGGAGAGGAATGCCTTCTGGGAAGAAAAACTACAGTAGGTGTAGGAAAAAGCTACATCACTCTACAGTATTAAAATACCCTGTGGTTGTATCAGATAATAAAAAAAAAAAAACTCCACTGAATCATTGTATCATAGGAGAAATGCTGCTGTAAAAACACAACGGATGCCTGTAATGTTCTTGTAACTGTAGAGAAAATTGAATGTGTCTGCATTTTCTAATTGGAAACAGCAACTGTGATGGTTTTTCAAATGAGAGTCAAGGCCTATGCAGAAACCGCTGATTGCACTCAGTCTAAACACAAGTTTTACCTTGACTTTGATTCTTATTTTCCTTTTTTAAATTTCCGTAAGCACGAAGCAGTTTAGGCCAAACCATGAGCATTTGCGCACATTTCCAGGATAAACATATTCATGCTTCTTAAGCTTTGTGCCGTCAGTGATACAAAACATGAATTCAGCGGAAACATTACAAACTGACGTTCTTCTTGTACTTTAAATGTTCCAGTTTGTTGCTCTCCTTTTGATGGGAGATTCTTTCTATGCTTGGCACTACTTCATATCCTTCAGTTTTCAACTTCTAATTCCATCTGTGAACTTGAAATTCCCAAGAGGATCAGATAAAGGATTGTGTCTTTCTTCTTGTGGTTTTCCACAAATATGTCCCGCCTCTGTTAGCCAGAGTCTCAGCCGGGAAGCCAGATGGGAACTTTATTACCCGCGCTGATCAAACAAACAGTGATGTAAGATGACTGTGAAAGGTAGTGAGTGTGGCAAGCCTCCAGAGTTGCACGGAGACTCCTGGAAAAAGTAACAACCTTTCAGCTCCGACTTGCAAGACGTCAGTGTGTGGGGACTGTTGGCTTCTCTAGTAGCTCTCCTCAGTGTGAGCTTGTTGGCCGGCCTGCTTTCAGTTGCATCAGTGTGTGTTGTTTTTTTATAGTGCCAAAAGCCTCCTTCATGAACACTGTTGGGGGATATGCAGTGGTCTAGTGTGTGTGTGTGTGTGTGTGTATAGAGGAACAAAGTCCCTGGGCCAACATCATGCTGATGAACAGTGTTTGCACTTGTCTGGCCGTGCAGCTTAGCGTAGTGAGGCGTGCATCTTGTGTTAACCCTGCATCACCAGAGGTGGACCGGGCCACGCACGTGCAGCCCCACAGACTGGACCGTGGAAAGCCTTCAGCAGCCTCTGTTCAGGGAGCACTTTCTGAAGAAGCGTCCAAAGTCCTGCTGATAAGTAGTCGCAGCTCCAATGCAGCGCCTCATCAAATACACACACCATGATCCTGTTTGAACTTTTGTTTCTGTTATGTTACTTTGGAGTTAAAAGGGTAAAAAAACTACCCTAACAAAGAACCTTCCCCAGTGCTGTTTGACGCAGAGAATTTTCCACCCATTCACTTTAATTGTAAAACTCTCCGTCCATAGTCTCCCCGTGCAGCTAGTTATAACCCTGTACATTTTCATTCAGCTCACTGCTGCTTTTCTTAGGTCCACTACAGCTGCTTTCTCCATTCACTTAAGGCGAACCAAGCCAGACCAAGTGTTTGACAGCCTGTTCTGCAGACGCCTCCGAAGCTGCTAATGCGGAGCAGTCTTGGGAACATTTGAGTGGAGTCATGTACTATAACACAGTTGGGGAAAAAATGCAACCTTGCAGGGCTCTCCTGTGTGCTTGTATTTGATAGCCGATAGTGGTTTGGCCACTTTACAGCTATTGTTACTCGTAAAGTGCAACGACCCGGACCTTGAGGATCGAAAAGAAGACTGTCGACCATATTAATTGTACAAACTAGAGATTCCATAGGCAGGGTTTTTATTTACAACTCCACCAGAGCCGTCCTTTTTATAAAAAGCTTTACAAGTGGACTGTGAGCACAGATATGAGCATGCTTTATGTTCTATGGGTAAATGGTATTTTATGGGATTCAGACAGTTGCCTGGCATCGTCATTTGGGAGCTGCGAGTGTGTGGGGGGGCCTAGTACAAAGTTAACTGCCACCTGTTTCACGATGCAAGTTAAAATTCTTCGTAAAGGCTCACAGCTTTCACCTGATCTGTCCATGGTGTATAAATCACTTTTAGGTTTTACAGTGTGTTTTACTGCAAAGGGAAATAAGTATGCATAAGGGATGTCTTGGCACACTTATGCTCCATTGCTTATGAAGAGAAGGGAGAAATGACAAATACTATTCTGCTCTATTTGTCAAAACGCATAAATAAGCGAGTTCAGACTGTTTTTACATTTTTCACATCAATTTTCAACTTGGGAACGGCGAGCCAGAGAGTCCAAAATGGAGGAAACTGTCATGGCGTCTTTTTTTTAGCCTGCTCTGTCGTGGAATACACTGTCGACTGCTTTACAAAAGAGCAATGGTTTTTAGACCATCATTATACAGGATGTGAGCAGGCATTTACAAGTCAAAATGTCTGCTGTTAAAAAGGCCCTCGATCACCACATTTTGATTCAAACGTGGCTAAAACCTGATTGGTGCATCACCATTTTCCAACTGAGCTGTATGTGACATTACCAGAACTGTTCCAACTTTGGCAGGTTATTTTCCGATCATGTAGGACACCATTGCTTATAGTAAGAAGCTGATGAATGTGTTTTCAGGGCCGTTTAAAGCCAACACAGACTGTTGTTCCTGTCGGTCATCTCATTTCAATCAAGGTTTTTGTGTGCTTGGTGGATTCATTTTGGTATGGTTGTTTGATCCCTTCGTCAATTTGATTGCCAGCTGTAGGCCCGTGTTTTGCAAATGTACCAGTCTCCC